AGAGAGAGAGAGAGAGAGAGAGAGAGAGAGAGAGAGAGAGAGAGAGAGAGAGAGAGAGAGAGAGAGAGAGAGAGAGAGAGAGAGAGGGAGGGTGACCCAACGGGTGCTGATCCAATGTGATTTCTGCCCAGTGCTCTGAATGCCAAAGTGAAGAGTTACAACCAAGTGCGGGTAAACGGCGGGAGTAACTATGACTCTCATCTAGCTAGTGGCGCGCACGAGTGGATTAACGAGATCCCTACTGCCCCATCTACCATCTTGCGAATCCACAGCCAACGAAACGGGCGCGGGAGATTCAGTGGGAAAAGGGGGTTTTGCCTTGTCATCTAATTAGTGATAGGCATAACTGGATTGACAGGATTCCAGCTACGACGTGCATGATTGGACTGACGAGCTTCTCACTGGCCCTACCTACCACCCTGCGAAACCATAACCGAGGGAGCGTTCTGTTAGTGGCGCGCATGACTAGATTGGCGAGAATCATTAGCGACGCGCATGAGCAGATTAACGAGATTTCCAATGTCCCTATCTACCATCCTGCGATATCACAGCTAAAGGAACGGGTTTGCCAGAATCGGCGGGGAAAGAAGCCCTGTTCAGCTTGACTGCAGTCCGACTGTGCGAAGTGACTTGAGATGTGTAATACCAGCAAAGTCCCAACGGAAGTTGACACAATGTGATTTCTGCTCCGTGCTCGGTATGCCAAAGTGAGGAGATTCGCTCTGAACGAAGGACGTGCGCGCTCCTGCGCGCCCAGCGCGCCAGCGCTCGAGCGCCAAGTCTCAGCCAGACCAAAAGCTCGCCCTCTCGGGCCATTGGACCAGGCCAAATCCGTCCGGACCAGGCCAGATCAGATTGGACCGGAGCAGATCTGACCAAATTCAGACCAATTCCGACCAGACCTGATCCGGGTAAGATCAGATCCAAGCCGGATCAGACCAGACCAGATCCGGGCAAGATCAGATCCAGGCCATATCAGACAAGACCAGACCCAGACGAGAAAAGATCAGACCAGACCGGATCAGGCAAGATCAGATCTAGGCTGGATCAGACCAGACCAGATCCAGGCGAGAGCAGATCAGACCAGACTTGATCAGACGAGATTAGACCAAAATCGGACCCGATCAGATCATATCAGAGGAGACTCAATCAGACCAGATCAGACCAGACCGGCCACAGGACAGACCAGGCTGGCTCAGACTAGACCGGATCAGACGGACAGGACCAGACCAGACCAGACCAGACCAAGATCAAGAACGAGGCCAGGTGCATACCCGGGCGAATCAAGGAATCACCTTTCCGACACGTGTTGGGCCTATGTACCGTAGCAAGTCGTTTCACGGCGAAACCGTGTTCCGTTGGGACTCAGAGGAATTATACAGACTCTTACTATGGACAAGACCTAGGGCCCCGTCGCAGTGCGAATTATCATACTATTCTGAATTAAATCAAAACACTCATTTCGGTCATTTCTACGATTTGTTTTGTCGTCAGCAGTTTCCTGCCTTATATTGAGATGCTAGCGTATTTTGGTGATACTGACGAGGTTGATTTCTTGCAGGTTATAGGAGCCCCGATCGACCCTCCCGTGGGTGACAGACACGGCGCGAGGTATAGGGTTCGATCAGTGTGTCGACATGTCACTTCTACCGGTCGACAGTGGCGCCGTTGCCGGGGAAGGCTGCCTCTCGGGACTTCGGTCCGCCTGTAACCGCAGAGGCGAGGAAGGCGTTGGTGATCGAGGCGCTCAACTCCATTACTGACGTCGGTATTGTTTCTCTAGGAAATGTCAGGGTGCGTTGAGGCGAGAGTGCAGCGACGACTGGCAGTCCGACCCATGTCGATACCCCGGTGAGATATTCTGAGTATTGCAATTTTTGCATTTTTGTTTTCTGCATGAAATTCCTCTGGCATGCTCTTGTGATTGGAGGGAGATTGTCTTCTGATTTCCCTACCCTTTGTCAGTCCACCTGATTCAGATCTCTTTGAGTGAAAATTGTAAGCAGGGGAAGAACTGGAGGGACTGAAGGGGAGGGAAGAAGCGCCCCGGATCGCAAGGAGTTGGGGGAAATAGACAGGCTAGTTGATCCGATTGCTAGCGGGAGGTCTGATTAGGACACTACACAGTATCGGGGGAAAGCGTCCCGGGTAAATCCATGTCTGAGGTGGGCCGAGTAGAGACATGGTGCCGGATAGGATTGCACGAGGGAGATACCGCCGTTCCGTAAGCGTGTGACGCACAAGTTGGCCGGCTCGCGTCAAGGGATTGCTCTCGGGATCGGTAGGCCAGCGATGATGGCGACATGGGATCAGCCTCTCTTTCGACATGAGGGTAGGAGGAGATACGCCAGAGGGCGGTTCTCTTCTAGGTCTGTTGACGTCGTCAGGGATATAGGCGGGTCCAGTGGAGGCCTGTCGTGGGGATCTATGAGCTCATCAGTCGGGTTGGGCTATACAGCGTCTGAGAGAGTAACCTTCCATCTCTTTGTTGATTAGTAGGGTTAATGGAGGGTTGAAAAAGGAGCGCCGGAAAGTTATAGAGAAGGCTTATCTTTCGGAGATGAAGAGTGAGCTTAATATTCCTGAGAGAAAGATGGCGGTGGGGAATTCTGATGGAGGAGAAAGGATGACGAATGAAGAAGGAGAAACTTGGCGGAAAGGACGATATGAACTACCATGGGGACCGAGTCCATATGCTATGGCGTGCGGGCCGTTGTGCAGTCCTTTGTTTTACCAACCACCGTGTTTCGGTCAGCCTCTATGTTTCATGGGACATCGGGTAACAGAGTTCCTGAATGACTGGGAAGTTTATGCCTTGAGAGCGGGATGGACTGATCGGGAAGCGATAAAGGGATTCATTAATCATACCGATCTTAAACTAGACAAAGACGCGCGTGCTGCTATACCCGAGGATTGGAAGTGGGCAACTTTCAGAGAACGATTGTCTCAAGCCTTTGCATGCGACGATATCTCCTACTCGGTCGATGACTTAAAGGAGATGAAGAAGGAGGAAGGAGAGACGTTAGTGACATTTGCGAGACGCTTTGAGAGGGCATCTGAACCATTGATAGAAAATGGGTTTCTCGGTGAGATAGAACGATGCGGCACATTCATAGGGACTCTGCCTATCGAGAGAAGACAGTTTGTTATGGAGAACATGCCTAATAAATGGGTGATGTTCGCTCAGACAAGGGCATTGGCTTTGCAGACTGGGGGACTGGATGCCAAAGCTCATCTACTTGGGGTGTTGGAGAAACTAGGGAAAGGAGAACCCGAAAGTCATTTAGAAAAACAATTCGGTGACGAGGATGGAAGAGAGTTCATGCCGCCTAAAAAAGGTAAAGTAAGTAGAGATAGAGGGGAATGGAAAGGAAGAAACCGCGACAACTGGAAGAAGGATGACGATAGGGGATTTCGAGATAGGCGTTGGAGAAGTAGAGAAGAAGAGAAAAAGTGAAGGAGATCGTATAGGGAAGGATGAGAAACGGTCGAGGAGATTGAAGCCCTAAGGACCGAACGAGAAAGGGTGAAGAGAATGAAGAATGTCCCACCTCAGAGGAGCGCGGAATCGTTGAAGATTCCCTTACAACAAGGACCTCAGGACAGACGAGAAAAAGACTCTGGGAAAACCATCGAGTTGAATGAGTGGGGAAATATCGAATGTACGAATGACAAGAAAGATATATCATGCGGACCTTCTACGAAGATGAATACTGATGTTAAAACAGGAACAACCCAGGAGGTGATTCAGGAAATTCAAGGAGAGATCTGGGTGTCGAGTATCTGGTTTGAGGAGGACCGGAATACAAGTGAGAATGAGGAGGAAGATATACGCTGTCGAACTTCCACGGAGATGGGTATTAGCAATGTAGTGAGGACAGTGGAAGAGCCAGAGCAGGGAGAGTTCTGGGTATCTAGTGTCCGGTTTGAGGAGGACCTAGACCCGAATGATAGTCTGACGGTTGGGATTTCGAGTATTCGGTTCGAGAGTTGCGAGGAGGATTCTAATGCAGCTTCGGTGTGTGCTGAGAAAATGAGTGAGGAATCAGAAGAAAATGGAGCCGATGACACTAACCTTGACATTAAAGTCTCGCCGAGGGGCGAAGGGCCGAAGGTTATTCAGGAAACGTGGGTAGATCGAACCACGACACAGAAAGAGATACCAATGATTGAAGAATGCAGAGGCTTGAAAAAGATTGGCGATACTCAAAACAAGAGGGCAAAGGACTCAGACACAAGATATGAGCTTGCCCCAGCGTTTAAGTGTGTAGAGCCGGATATCAGCTATGAGCTGGCTCAACTTTCTGAGACCATCAAGCCAGATGTTAGCTATGAGTTGGCTCAATTGTTTGAGATCCCCGATCTGGACATGGGTTGTGAGCTTGCCCAGCCATTTGAGTATGTTGACCCAGATGTCGGCTACAAGCTGGCTCATCCTTTTGAGACCGTCGAGTTGAACGTCAGCTATGAGCTGGTGCAACTATTTGGGACCATCGAACATGATGACGATTATGACTTAGCTCAACTCTTCGAGGCCTCCGAACCGGGTATCGACTATGGGCTTACCCAATTGTTGGAGACCGTCGAGCCGGACGACGGCTATGAGCTTGGACAACTGTTTGAGACCCTCGAGTCCGACGTCGACTATGATCTTGCCCAACTGTTGGAGACCATCGATACGTCCGGAAACGATGTTGGGTATAGTTTTAAGAGCCAAAATCTGGTAACTATGAAAGATATTGGAGATTTCATAATGGATCGATGCACGACGGTGAGTGTTGAAGGAGAATTAGACGGGAACCTTTTGGAAGGACAAGACAATGAGATTCGACTTTCATCTGACCAAGAAGGCGGAGGAAATGTCATCGTGGAAGTTAAGTTTATTGAGGATGCTGACCATCTTAAAAGCACGTCGAGATAATTTAAGGAACTGTCAGAACTCAGGAAAGGGTTACAAGTGAAGAAAACTGTTGTTGACGATAATGATTCGATCAAGACTGAAAATTGGGTCGCAGGATTTCAGCTTGGGATAAGGGTGCGAGGCTGGAATGAAGACTTGCGCCTCCTTTTTCTCTTACTGATCATCCTTGTGTCAACTTATGCTCGTACTTTTCCGTTGTTGGTGCTACGGCTGCAGCTTTAATTTCGACATCTTACTTGCCGTGGCTGATCGTCTCATTACGTTTGATCTTTATGGTGGCGTAAGTTCCTTGTGGGTCCATACAAGCCTGTCATGCGATGTCTTTCCTATACTCTTTCAAGCCTTACTGGTTGGGTGGAGAATGGATGCAAGGAGGAGAAGGACGTTCGTAAACGGGGGAGGTAAAACTCAAAAGTTCGGAGGTCTGATGTTCGAAGAAGGAGGTACTTTAGCATTTATCAAACTGATCCTGCCGACTAAGCGTATGAGCAAAAGAAAATTTTACTTCTACAAGTGGCGAGACAAAACCAAAGTTCGCTCGAATCTGGCAACGCGAGAGTGGTTAAAAGGACAAGCTAGGGATAAAAAGCGGAAAGCTAAAAGAAGCGATGGTGGAAAGAGAGGTAGGAAGAGCGAAAAGAAGAAAGAAATTATGAGAGGGATATGTCTCTTGGGGTTGATCGAGTACAGATTAGGTGTCAGCCTATTAAATTTTTCCTTCTCGATAAACAGACGATACTCCAAGATCGCTCGCCAGGGACGTCGAGAATGGGGGGGGGGCTGCTGTCGGGCGGCTCCAGCCCTACGTCGCCCTTTACTTCCTTTACAAGGGCGCAACGAGGTTTGCATTTGTTGGTTTCTACCTGGCAGGGGTTCACCGGCCATGGGAAAATGCCGCGACAGGTTGACGGAACGAGTGGCCGGGCTACGACGTTCAGTTTGAGCAGGGCTCGAGCGTTGAACAGCGGTATCTTTGCGGAGAGAGCCTAAGACGTAAGCCACCGATGAACGCAAAGAGGCTACATCAGCGGACAACTTCCGAGGGGTCGGACAAGGGGGCGAGGCCGCGAAAGGTCGGAATGATACTAAAGGTCGGCGGAATAGTCAAGGGAACGGAGACGTCGGACGTTTATCGTGAGGCTACGGACGTCTTAAGAGGCGGCGGTGTCCGAAGTTGCCTCGAGTAACCGAATTCTCAAGAGCACCCTGCGTGAACAAGTGGTGGGATCGGGCCTATGCGGGGGCCTCGACGCTAAGAGGAGAAGGGTGCGGGCCTAGGGCTCGGAAATGGACCTCCCGGCCTAGAGTTTTGGGCGGGCCTGCGTGACTTTCACAAGGGGGGCTGGTACCACTTATGAGTGGGGACCACCAAGGCCGAGATAGGCTCGGGGCAGGTTCGGAAATAGGTCCGGTACCGGGGCGCTGCAAAGTTCCCGACGCGGATCGGTCGACGGCCGGTGAGAGCTAGCTGCTGGGAGCTGGTACCGTGGGACCAACAAACTTTATAAGCCCAAGAGGGCTCATTCTCGGGGGATTCTGACTGGCCCACGGAGCCGCGCACGGGCTGGCTCACGAGGTGTGATGGCTTAGAAACGCACGGGGATTTTTTTCCGGGGAGCACACGAGACAGAGGGTGGTGGGAACTGGCGCACGAAGCTAGCCCGCAGGGGGCTAGCTGAGGGAAGCACGGGGTGTGGCGGACGTACGTGCTTGAATGAAGGACGTGCGCGCTCCTTCACGCCCAACGGAAGTTGACACAATGTGATTTCTGCTCCGTGCTCGGGATGCCAAAGTGAGGAGATTCGCTCTGAATGAAGGACGTGCGCGCTCCTGCGCGCCCAGCGCTGGAGCGCTGGAGCGCCGAGTTTCGGCCAAACCAAAAGCTCGCCCTCTCGGGCCATTGGACCAGGCCAAATCCGTCCGGACCAGGCCAGATCAGATTGGACCGGACTAGATCAGACCAAATTCAGACCGATTCCGACCAGACCTGATCCGAGTAAGATCAGATCCAGGCCGGATCAGACCAGACCAGATCCGGGCAAGATCAGATCCAGGCCGGATCAGACAAGACCAGACGCAGACGAGAAAACATCAGACCAGACCGGATCAGGCAAGATCAGATCCAGGCTTGATCCGACCAGACCAGATCCTGGCGAGAGCAGATCAGACCGGACTTGATCAGACGAGATGAGACGAGATCAGACCAAAATCGGACCTGATCAAATCATATCAGAGGAGACTCGATCAGACCAGATCAGACCAGATCAGACCAAAATCGGACCCGATCAGATCATATCAGAGGAGACTCGATCAGACCAGATCAGACCAGACCGGACACAGGACAGACCAGGCTGACTCAGACTAGACCGGATCAGACGGACAGGACCAGACCAGACCGGACCAAGATCAAGAACGAGGCCAGGTGCGCACCCGGGCGAATCAAGGAATTGCCTTTCCGACAAGTGTTGGGCCTATTTACCGTAGCAAGCCGTTTCACGGCGAAACCGTGTTCCGTTGGGACTCAGAAGAATTATACAGACTCTTACTATGGATAAGACCCAAGGCCCCGTCGCAATGTGAACTATCATACTATTCTCAATTAAATCAAAACACTCATTTCGATCATTTCTACGATTTGTTTCGTCGTCAGCAGTTTTCTGCCTTATATTGAGGTGCTAGTGTATTTTGGTGATACTGACGAGGTTGATTTCTTGCAGGTTACTGGAGCCCCGATCGACCCTTCCGTGGGTGATAGACACGGCGCGAGGTATAGGGTTCGATCGGTGTGCCGACAGGTCACTTCTACCGGTCGACACCTTATCCCTTGAAAATGGGTGGCCTGGTGTCTAACTCCGAGGGCTGGTGCGAGATGATGTATTTATCCCCCCTCTCGTAAGGAAGCATATACCTGTGGGTCATAAATCCGTCTAGGTGGTGTGCTCCTCTCCGGAGGTCTATCTCTATCTCTCCAGGCCTGTTCCCGAGCATACTGGTTTTTCTAGTCATTCCTGCCTCTATCACTTCTGACGTTTTTCCGCTTGTACATTGGAGAGCGTCGAGCGGGCATCTCCTGCCGGATACTAGGAGGTTTGGTTCTACTCTCCATCTGTACCGCCAACGCTGTCCTATCTGGCTCAACGACGGCTGGGCAGCCCATCACCTCGGGTTCCCCATCGTCGGGTTGATCTACGCATCTCAGCGTGCATTCTGCTGGATGCGCTCCTTGAGGTCTAGCAGAGCACGGTCCGGTGACGCTCGGTATACACTAGCTTGCTGTTCCATACCCATTGTGTCAGACTCCATATACCCCACTCCCTTTCAAAGCTCGGGCCTGTACAAGGATTCTATCGTCCCTGTCATTCGAACGCGCAGCCGGGACCTAATGTTAGAACTGGTAACCCGGACCTAATGTCAAAACCCGCAGCCTGGACCTGATGTCAGAGCTGGCAGCCGGGACGTTATATCAGATCCCGGTTCTCTTAATCTTTAAGTATATAGTTCTAGTTCTCATCCGCCCTCAAAATAACCCTCTGTCTTCCACTCTCGTCTCAGATCTCGTGCTTGTCCTCAATACCTAGTATTCCCGTGTCAAGGAAAAGTCGCCCCTCCTGTCCGTCTTTGCAGGCAGCACCACTCCTGACCTCTATCACTCCTGTCTCGGGGTACCTCACTCCCCTACAAATTGCGCTCCCTGTAGTGCGTAACTCCTCGTGAGTGTAGGCACGCAAGCGCTCTCGTAGATCAATCGATGTTCTCCTTTCCAATTCACTCAACCCTCACCGTACAACGCTGACCCCTGCTAACAGGTATTCACCTCCTCTTGCCATCAAACTCCTGATGTCGTAAGACAAGCTCAACTACAGTCCCGTAGTTTCCCTTTTCCGTAATTTGGTAGGGAGTAGGAGGTTTAAGAAGTCTCACAAAGACCGTTGTAGGGCTATACCCTGTTAGACTTTCGAACCTGAGTCGACCCCTTTGCGGGTCTCATTTGGCTCGACCCGCCCACGCTCACGCTTAGGGCACGGGTCATTCGTCACAGGGGCACCCCCACCTAGTGCTATAAGATGAATGGGGATGAGTCATTTGCGAGAGGGCTTTAAATTGGAGGATGTAGCTCCGCTCTCGCGCTAGATGGTAACTCTATGGTCACTCGCAGCGTTTCTCGATTCATGTAGGTGTGGCCAGGCAATTGCTCCTTCGAATACGCATGCAGTCCAGGGGGTTTATTGAGGGTTTTTCTTCCTTTGTGCGTAGGCCAAGCGTCATCCTTGGGCCACGCACCTCTTCCCTAAGCACGATGGTCCCCATGGCATCATCGGGGTGAGGCATCTCAATCCGTCCCCTGGCCCAATTTTTTTGCCTAACACCTGCATCCTACCCGCATATCCATCGTTCGCCCTTAGTTCTTTCGGGCGTCTATTTTGCATGCAACTTGGCCCTTTGTCCAAGCATTCTATACCAAGGCCCGCCTACGTTTGGAGTCCGCACTAGGCCTTTGACCTTCCCATGCAATCCTTTCTCCCCTTTGTTCACGTTTCCCTGACCCAGTCCCGCTCAAGCCATCCTAAGCTACCCACCTGCACAGTCCCACACAAGCAAAAACCGATACAATCCCCCATTGGGGTCAACACATTGCCCTTCCCGCAAGCCTAAGTTCCTTTCCCTCCCGAGGTTCCTTCAACTTTCTCTTTCCTTCACATTCAAGCTATGCATTCTCCTTAGTCATGCAGTCAGGGGAATCGTTGAGTCAACTGACCTTATCCAAGCTCTCAATCTCTCACTTTCCTCACGGGTCCCGCCCCTTTCACTTTTCTCAAATGTCCCTCCTTTTTCCTCTTGGTGGCACAAGGGACCGGCAACCCTCCCCTTGCCCTCTTTCTCCACCAAGTGAGGACCGAGTTTGTTTACCGTTCGTTCCCTGACTATGTAACAAGTGAGAACGAAAGGTTAGTCATATGCCAAGCAGGAAGTGGAAGAGAGGGTAAGGAGTGAAGGTCAAAGTTCTAGAGAGAGAGAGAGAGAGAGAGAGAGAGAGAGA